GTTGGCTTGGGTCATATAAGCTTGCCTAACTCTTTTGTTCTTATTGTCAAAAGCTTATATGAACTAAGCATGTTGAAAACCTCATCTCTTTAATATACTCGAGGTGGTATTGTCATCAATTATCAAAAATGGGGAGATTGAAAGCATCTAGGCCCCTAGTTGGGTTTCGGTGATTAATGACAATACGTGATTACTATGACTATCGTGTGTTTTGCAGAGGCAAGTAAGTTAGGTCATGGTGATAGAAATTGATTGGGCAATCATGGTTGTCATGCCCCTACGATGGAAATCGTTTCGGTTTTCAAAGGATGGACGACAAGGTTAAGGATGGACTAGTTCTAAGTGTCGTTTGGTGTTGAAGAGACACTTAGAGTAGTTTAGGACTTTGTTTTTCCTTTGACCATACTATTAAGGAGGGTATGGACTAGTAGCTTGACCTAGATGAGTCTAGTGGGTTAGGTGTGGTACACACTTGTCAAATCTAGCACTAGGTAGCTCCTAAATAGCCCTAAGATCAATTAGAGCGAATTTCATTCACATATGATTGCGAGTTGGAAGTGAATGGAGGGTCAAATATTGACCGGACGCTGGTTCTAGTGTGACCGGACGCTGGCGCAGAGTCCGATCAGTTCATTTGATCAAGAAGAAGTCGTCTGGTAGGACCGAACGCTGGTTGAAAAGCGATCGGACGCTGGGTGCCAGCGTCCGGTCAACTCCAGTAAGGTTCCAGAGAGCAGTTTTCGTGACCGGATACATCCTATCAGTGCTGACCCGACGCTGGTCAGTGTCCGGTCACAACTTAAACGGCTCAGTGGCGGGTGAACTAACCGGAGCGTCCGGTCACCTTGACCGGAGCGTTCGGTCACCCCGCAATTTTCACATAATGGTTCGTTTTGAACGAAGGTGTATAAATACTTCCTCTATTCATGTGAGGGATTACTTTTGCTCATTCCAACAGCTGAGAAACACTCTTGAGAGTGCCAAGAAGAGCAAGATCCTAATGAGGTGATTGAGATTTGAGAATCCAAGAGAGAGACCTCATTAGTGAAAGCAAGAGTAGCAAAGTGTTCATCCACCGTTCTCATTAGGCTTGTCATGGTCAAGTGAGAGTTTGTGTTTGTTACTCTTGGTGATCGCCATCACCTAGACGGCTTGGTGGTGATTGAGAGTTTGGTGATCATCCGATAGAGCTTGTGGATGACCCAACTCAAGTTGTGAGCGGTTGTGGGTGATTCACCGCGACGGAGTGTCGAAGAATCAACCCATAGAGAGCACTTGATCCTTGCGCGGATCAAGGGGGAGCTACACCCTTGCGCGGGTGCTCCAATAAGACTAGTGGGGAGTGGCGACTCTCCGATACCTCGGCAAAACATCGCCGCATTCCTCCTTCTTTCTTTACTTTAAGCATTTACTTTGAGCAATTCGATTCTTGTGTTTACATTGATAGAATTGCCATGCTAGAGTAGGATTAGAACTTAGGTTGCAAAACTTTTGTACGGTAGAACATTAGAAACACTTTCTAGGCACAATGAGTGAAGTGGGCTATGTGTAGGGTTTAATTATTGCAAAGAATTTTAGAATTAGTCCAATTCACCCCACCTCTTGGACATCTTGATCCTTTTAAGAGCCACTCCGTTGCGGCCCTCCTCGGCTTGCGCATGGGAGCTGACCCGCCACCGGCCACGCGGACACTGCTCGCCCGGTCCCATGTCGCCGCGCTCTACGTCCTTCTACGCGTGAGATGCGAAGGGGAGGAAAGAGGATGTGTTGCACCAAACTGTAGAAGGGAGGAAGAGGACAAAGAGCTAACACGCGGGCCTCAGGTGGCAGTGAAAGAGAGGGAAGGCTAGAGGTGTACGAATTATGAAACACTTTCTAGAATTCTAGATCCACAATGGATCTGGAGCTGATAAAGCTCTGTCAAATAGGGTCTTAGATTGCATAGGCATTTAGACCATTGTTTTAGGCGTCGAGATTCACCAGCTCCGTCACTGCCCCTAACGGTGGATGTGACGGACAACGGCCAGCTGCAGTGGAGAGTGCATGTGTGGATATAAGGAATGTGCTTTGATATGTTGGCTTGCATGTGAGAGATAAGGTAAATACGACAGGTGAAAAAAGTCTAATGACGGAGAGCACTCTCTCTACATAATATTCAGATAGATAAGGTGTAGATCATCTTCTTTTTGAGTAATTCTGGATTTGAATTGATATGGGTTTGTTTACTCCGTACACCAAATAAAAATCTTCTCCCCTTTCTAGATGGGACTGGTGTAACTAAAAAATTAGGCGTAGGAAAGGAACATTTCACCTGATTCTTACCACACACACTGGTAGAAAACAGAGCTTTACTCCCGGTGGGGAACCTCCTCTAGTCCCGGTTCTCCACCCGGGAGTAAGCATCCGGGACTAAAGGGGGTCCTTTAGTCCCGGGTCAGGAACCAGGACTAAAGGAGGACCTTTAGTCCCGGTGGGTAACACCAACCGGGACTAAAGGTCCTCCCAGCTTTAAAAAAAATAATGTCTCCCACCGCTGTGTCCCGTGAGATTCGAACCCAAGACCCCATGCATTACCTCGTTCGTAGCTTACCACCCCACCTACACAACACATCTAACAATGGATGTGATGCTTCCCTTTTGAACTAACCCATCGGGGAACCTTTAGTCCCGGTTGGTGTTACCAACCGGGACTAAAGGGTCTACCTTTAGTCCCGGTTGATGTTACCAGCCGGGACTAAAAGTCTCAACCTTTAGTCCCGGTTGGTGGCTCTAATCGGGAGTAAAGGTCCACCTTTAGTCCCTGGTTGGTGTCTCCAACCGGGACTAAAGGTCCTCTGCCACTGTGCCGAGCGCAGTAGCCGTTGGGCATGGACCTTTAGTCCCGGTTGGAGACACCAACCGGGACTAAAGGTCTCTCTAGTCCCGGGCGCAAAAAATGCCAGGACTAGAGCTCATTTTAGCATCGGATGAAAGGTCTGTTCTTTACTAGTGACATCTAATTTAGGTGTGAAACTGATCTAAAACATCCCGATTTTTTTTATTATAACATGGTCGCAAAATTCAGACTTAGGATGGACTTTTTTCACCCGGGCAATTGTTAATATGAGCTTGGCCAATGGTAAACTAACAACAGACTACGGCATAAACGAACAAACTCGATGACCAAATCAAAAGGAAAACCATTGCCGTGAATACGCGAGCTGGCTAGCTAGGGTTGCCCGTGTTCACGAGGGGACGACACAAAGGAAACTCGATCGTGATCGCTCAGATCACCGTACGTGCACGCATCTGAACTGAACCCCCTCATGCTCATCGCTCAGGAGAGTTTTCCTTAGCTGCCACCACGTAGGCTCAGGCTCCATTGTTGCTGTCTGTTTCCATCACCTTGTGCCTCACGGCCACGCAGTACATACTCCGTGCTTTGTTTTCCACTAACGGGATGCTATCCCTTTTGGAGGTTTGAGTTTTTTGTCCAAGTATATCCGATTAATTCAACACACGCTATAGTTTTCTCTATATTTCGGTTTCCAGTATTGAGATGTTACATTTCTTGTTCTATACGTTATATGATATCAAGGTAGTCTAGCATAGCACAAGGCTAAACATTTTTCAACAGTTACAGGCAAATATGGTCAATATATTGTTTGCAGTTGCTTTGGTTAATACTGCGTAGTGGGTAACTAGTTTGTTGGTGTACTTTCCCAGTCGAGCTAGTCTGGTCGATATTTCCCAATCAGTTCACGGTTAAGGAAATTATTTCTGTCGGTAACTGATGACAGGGAAGTTTTCTTCTCCTTTATTTACTGTTACTTCCTCCGTTCCAAATTATAAGGCGTTTTGGTATTTCTAGCTATATAGTTTTTTCTATGTACTAGATATGTCCGTATATATAGTAAAAAAAAAATCTAAATATATATAGTAAAAACCACGTGTCTAGCAAAGCTAAAACATCTTATAATTTATAATGAAAGGTAGCAATTGCCAAATATATATTGATCACTGTAGGTGTTTGCAGGAGGCGCTAGTACCTGTGGTGGATCAGAACCGTCAAGTAAATCAGAACATTGAGGATGCCATACATCATGCCCTTTTCCAAGATTGCATGCCCCTAAAACATCAAAGAAGAAAAAGAAGGGTGGCCTAGCATTATTTTGGAGTGGCTGATATATATATAGTACTATATGAGTACATTGTGGGGCCAAAATTACTGTTTAGCCCAAGTTATCCAACCATTGAAATGATATTTCTGAAGGAAGTGAACGGCTGGTGAGGAAAAATAAAGCAGCGCTAGCGGTTACCAAAACCATCGATCTTTGTTCTGGACCATCTAGAACAATCCTATTGGATCATGGAGCTAGCATTTTGAGGATTTTGCCTGGACGGTTTTTAATTATTACTGCCTGTTCTTGACTCATAACAGGATAGGCAATCTCGAGGCCAGAGAAACGAGCACGCAGGGAAAACAGCACCGGAGACCGGACATTCACCATAGGTGAACCCGATCCACTGGAGGTAGATTGGTTTTTTAACAGAGCAAGACAAATGTGGATAAGGCCCACAAACAGGGGCGATGCCAGGTTCAGCTTGCCGAGTGCCCAGGCAACAGGGTCAAAAAAGTTTTACCACTAAACAGCTTCAAATTTATCGTATATTTTAAAAGAGTTATATATGCCATTTGAGCTGTGCACCAGGGTCATTTCGTCCCTGGCTTCGCCCCTGCCCACAAACTGACTCTTGCTCACCATAGTCCATAAACAACTGAAACCAAACCAATCCTCTCTGTGTAAACACCAACCGCATGGCGCATGCAAAGCTGCAATTTTCTATAGGAACAAATAACGTGTCGATATCTACCTCTCTCCCAGTTTAGTAAGATCCCCAGGGCCTTCTTGTATTTAAGCCACATGATCCTTAGTTGCAGATCCTCGCAGTCTCAGATCACAAAGGCCAGCTTAGCAGAGCTGCAGCAGAGGCAACTGTCACGTCAGCTGCATATGCCGATGGCTTCTCACGCTCTCCTCCCTCTCCCTTGGCTTGCCAGCTGTGTTTGTGTCTGCATGGTTGCAGTAGCCTTGTTGGCGCCGCCGCCGGCGGCGGCGGCTTCACATGCCGCAAGGGCCCCTGTCCGCGGTGGCGACCCGACGGTGGGGTTCACGGAGGTGAAGCTTACTGATCGAGAGCAACTTCGAGCTGCAGCGCCCCTACGACGTGCCGAGCGGCGACCGGTACAGCTTCCACGGTGGCGTCCGTCAGCTGTAGGTGCTGTCCTCCGACAAGCCCCACGATCGCAATAGCCACACCAGCCCCAGAACGGAGATCAGGATGACGGTAAAAACCGTAAAATTCAAAGATCGATGATGACCTCTAATCACCTATACTCTGTGTGATAACTAGTTACCTCTTGTCGTGTAGATTAGCACTGCACAGCACAAGAAGATTTTGATTGGGTGTTTTTATCTGCTTCTACTTTCTAGGGCTACGACTACTCTTCTGGGGTGTGGCAGTTCGAGGGCTATGGCTACGTGCCCTCCGGCACGACGGGGGAGTCCATCATGCAGGTGTTCGGCGCCGGCGCCACGACGCTGATGCTGCACGTCTACGACGGCGCGCTGCGGTACTACGACCGGCAGGTGGTGGAGGACGGCGCCTACGACCGGTGGTTCCGGCTCAACGTGGTGCACGACGTGGGCGTGTCCACGGTACGTCGACGGCGTCGAGAAGCTACGGGCGCTGGGACGCGGCGGCGACTCGCACTACTTCAAGTTCAGCGTGTACGCCACTGCTAAAATACGATTTGTAGCGACGTCTTCTTTTTTTTCTAGGCAGCTAGCCGTCCCTATAAATAATGACCAGGCTGTTGGCGTTATTAGCCGCCTCTACAAATGGTTTAAATTATAGGAGCGGCTCTATATCTAGCCGTCCCTATAAATTGGATTTGTAGGGACGGCCTATAAATAGACGTCTAATGTTAAAAATTAAGCACTAAAATTTATTTTTTTTCAAACGACCTCGAATGAAGAAATGACCAAAATAAAAGTTGCAGATCTCGAAAAGTTAAGAAACTTTGTTATTTACAACTTTTTTATTTAAAATTATTTACTACATCAAAATGTTGTTTGAAATTTAATTTTGAAATTGTTGAAGAACTCTGATTTCTCTTTTTAATCTCTGGCTAAAACTTGTAACTAGTCTTTCTCCCTTATACTAACTTTAAATTCGATGATTTTTTTCCAAAAAAATTCTAAAATCATTATCTATCAAATTATTGTGTTTTTACATCTATTATTTTACCCATCTTTTCATGTGATTGTGTTTTATCTATTTGAATTTTGAATTTTAAAAAATGACAACTTCAAAAGTCATTTTAAAACATTAACTGATTTCAGCTGAAAAGTCATGAACATAAAAGTTGTAGAACTCATCAAGTTCTACAACTTTTATTTTAATCATTTATTTATCCGATATAGTGGTAGTAACATTGTTCACAAATTTTATATATCTCTCTTATAGTTTATTTTGATCATCTCTTCATATAACAAAGTGATAGTAACATTGTTCACAAATTTTATATATCCCTCTTATAATTTATAAAACTATAAGAGAGATATGTAAAATTTATAAACAATGTTACTATCAATACATCGGATGAATAAATGACCAAAATAAAAGTTATAGATCTTGAAAAGTTACAGAACGTTGACAACTTTTCGATTTGAATTAATTTGTCATCGTTAACTACGTTTGAATTTCTCAAATTTAAAATTTGGATTTTTCAAACGATCTCGGATGGAGAAATAGTCAAAATAAAAGTTGTAGATATTGAAAAGTTATGGAACTTTGTAATTGACAACTTTTTTATTTGAATTCATCTTGTCATTGAAAACTACGTTTGAATTTCTAAAATTTAAAATTCAAATTTTGTAAACGATCTCGGATGAACAAACTACCAAAATAAAAGTTGTAGATCTCGAAAAGTTATAAAACTTTATAGTTGATAATTTTTTCATTTGAATTCGTTTAGGGCCTCAAACACTCAATTTATGCTTGGTTTAGTATAATACATGGGAAACCAAAATGCAATACAGATACAGTGAGTATTGGGTGGAGTGGTTAGAGCAGGAAACACGCGAGCCTAGGTCATAGGTTCGAACCTCGGTAGCCGTGTAGCGTGCGATTTTACGTCGGAAAAAATGTGCGACTTGCGAATTTCTAAAAAATGATTTGTAGGGGCTGATCGGTTGGGGTCTCCCGGATTGCAAAAAAATCGTATTTTTTTTTGGCCTGGACTCGTGAATTTCTAGAAAATGATTTTTAAGGCGGCTTAATATCCAACCACCCCTATAAATAGTGAGCCACCCCTATAATTCCAATTTATAGGAGCGGTTGGTCAGCCGTCCTTGCAAATTCGTGATTTATAGCTATCTTTTGGTAGGGACGGCCGGTAAAATCGCTTCTACGGACCGTCGGGAGCCACCCCTACTATTCGTTTCTGTAGCAGTGCGCCCAGAGGTACGCCTCCAGCTGCATGGAGTCGCGCTGGAAGAACGTCAGATGTTTAGGAAAGATGATTGATTGATGGTTTCATAATTCGAGAGCAGCCAGCAGCTCAGCCGGGTTTATTAAATTTGCGACAGATTGTCTAATAGATGATTATATTGAGTGTTCTTGGAGTATATGCATTTGCGCATGTTTAGTGCATGCTTGTATTTTATCATGATTATATATAAGTTATACTTGTCATCAACTCAAAAAAAGTAATGGTGATATGTTCTTTGGCATTCTTATTAGTTTATTATGACATCTGTGCATGTGTGATTGTGAAGATGATGTAATCATCGTTCCTGTACTTCCTTCCATTGTTCATTAGGCCTATAGAGGAAGGCAATCTTTTCTTTTATCCTTTTCTCCTCACAGCTTTATTTAGGTCTAAATCTATATCTATATCTATATCTATATCTATATCTAATACTAAATAGGTAAAATTTCTGCCACCTATAATTTTTCGTCCAACCTAATCACCAGTGCTTTATCTGCATCCGCCCAGATTTTGTTTCCGTTTCCATCTTTATTTCTTCTTGGGCTGCTTTGTCTTTTTTTTCTCTTTTTTTTTTGGAACGTAGATGTTTTCCTGGCCTTAGCTAGAAAGGTGCCGCACCAGCTCCTGGATGATGTCTGTGACTTTCCTTCCCTTTTATTTGTTTTTTATTTTTTATTTTCTAATGATTTAATTTTACTTTTATATTTTAAAAATAAGATAAATAATAAATAAAATATTATAGATCTTTTAAAACGTTGACCCTTACTTAAAATAAACAAATATTTCTATTATTACTAAGTTGTTTAATAAGAAATAAATTATTATTATAATATGAATTAGCCAATGAGCTCTAAAAAAACCAATCAAACCATATAAACTTAAATCTTGAACACTTTCTCACCCAAACCAATAAAAATATATGTTTCTTCAAGCTATCCACATATGTCAGTGCAAATATCAAAATTGTCCTCATATAACAGGGCAACTCTCGATAAGGCTAACACGTGAGAATTGAGACACGATAACAACTAACCCTTACCCATCTTAATAAAATATTAAAATTATATATTTTATGGATCCTTAAAAGAAGGCACATAACTTGATATCTAACTATTGTCATCCTTGTTTCCATTAATGAGCCCGTTCGTTTGTGATTTGTTTAGAGATTACAAAGTACAACGTAGACGCTCAAAACGCACACTCACTCATCTGTATGAACGCATGTACGCAAACCCTACCCCTATGAGTACCTTCGAAGACTGGACCGACAAATCCTCGAGACGAGATTGACGAAGTCACCAGCGCCTCGCTGTCAACGGGAACGTCGGCTACAACGGAAAGCACAATGCCATTAAATCCTGGAATACGAGGAGTCAAACACAGGACCGTAGGTGCTACTAAGGCCCTTATAAACACTAGGCTACAAGCCCTTCGTCCGTTCGTTTGTAATTGCTGCAACAACCACCCACAATACCAAAACTAGCACCTTTACAAATTAAACTGTCGTGGCCATTGCAGCTATGTAGCAAGCTACAGTGAAGTGAATATATGGAATGTTTGACAAGGTGTGGTATGACATATATTTTCTTAAGGTATGGTCATCCGTAGCAACGCACGAGCATTTTTCATAGTATATGAAAAAAATGAAACAGCGAGAAAAAGGTAACAAGTTCGACTGCAGCCCATGTGGGCGAAGTTTTGGCCGAGTTAATGGGTTAGGAATTTATTTCACCAATCATTTTCACACATGCCACAATCAAATGGACTTTAACATATCGGGACAAAAGAAATCTAATGTGAAAATAATACATTCAGCTTATGTAACAATCGTAGATATACCACGGATTGGAACAATTAACATTTTCGATAGGAAGCCAATAATATAATCTAGAAAATATCATGGAATAAATGACTTCCATAGCTGGAATAACAAATATATCATACACTCATTAGCATTGGAACAACCCAAACTAGGCCAGTCTTAGTGAGGAATTTTGTGACGTTGTTTCTAAAACTGGCAATCTCATATAAAATTAAATGAAACATGGATGAAACACCACTCTCAATAGAAAGTTTCATTTTATATGGTTTCATGAACATTTAATTACATTGCTCATAGAGAGTTGGTAATTGTGTCAAGAGAGTTTCGTCCACATGAAAACCATTTCTTCTCTCTCTTCTTAACAACGTTGCTATGTCATCGAAAATGCTTATGTAACATCTTATTAAATACAAACTATGCTCATGCTCGCTCACGCTCTAGACTTTGAGTGATGGTCTTGTTTGGCAGCGCTTCCAAAATATAGCAGTAGTGGGCTAGTGGCAAAGGAAGAGGAGGGCAAGCCATGAGAGCGTGAGGAGGAGGCACATGCGAGGGAGAGGGGCACCATGGGCATCAGTGGGAGTGCGGTACGGCGATGGTGGGCGGATCTCGATGAGTGTGGGAAGAAGGGCGCCAAACATGGGGAGAAAGATAACGGCATAAACCATATGAGAGGACAAAGACAAGAGTGGCGGAGCAAAAATGGCTCACAATGCAAATCATGGCAATAGAAACTTTTCCTTTTATATATTTCCTGTCTACATGAATTGTAAATAAAAGGAACCAGAGAAAAAAGGAAGAGGAAGAAATAAAAAAGTAGGTGACACAAACAGATCATTAAGAAAAGCTCCAAACCTTCAAATCGTCACGAAAGGAAGGCATAGAATTATTGAATCTAATGAAACCAATTAGCCATAGTTAAGGATGGCAGTTGAATCCGCGAACTCCGCACCTACGATTTTTTTTAATTTTAACACTTTTTGAAAACTAATTTTAAATTTAACACTGTCTGTTTTTTTAACTAACACTTTTGGCCGCGCCTATTGTCATGGCGCGCCATGCATGGTGGCGCAGCAGCGGGCTGACGTGGCGACGACCGGAATCGCTGACCGGTGACGTGGTAGGGCTTGCCGCGCCACCGATCTTGGCGCGGCAGTGCCGTGTCCTGATCCGTGGCGCGGTAGAGCCGAATAAAACCCCATGGCCGCCCCGCTGCCGAAAGCGAGCAAGGCCACCCGCCGCCCGCCGTCGCTCGTACTGCATGCCGACCAGCAGACCGCGTAAAACGCCGGCCGCCATGCGCCATGCAACACCGGCACGGCACGGCCACCGCCGACGCGGGCGCCGCCGCACGCCGACGGCCAAGGTACCACCCCGACCACGCATGATGTTGCCCGCCGAGGCTGCGCGCCGCGCCTCGGGCGGTCTAGCCCGCCACCATGAGGATTTAACGTGCATTGCATGAGGTACTCTCCTCATGTAGTTAGTATAGTTAATAAAGTTAGTAAAATTAGTAAAGTATAGTTAGTATAGTTAATAAAGTTAGTTAGTTTAGCTAGTATAGGTAATATAATAAGTTAGTATAGATAGTAAAGTTAGGTAGTTTAGTTAGTATTGTTATTGAGTCTAGTTATACATTGGATTTAGTCTAATTAGTTGTTGTAGTTAGCCTTATATAGATGTTAATATTAGATTAGTTAGTATAGTTGTAGTTAGAATATATATTAATATTACTATAGACATTATGTACGACGAATTCGACGACTTGATGAAATTTGTTGAAATGTTTTTGTAGATGGATTGTTGTGTTAGAGTTTTATACGGAGAAAGTGTTAGAAGAGAAGATGGTATGTTTGAGGATATGAAAGAAGAATTGGAATAGTTTGATGAACCTCCTAGCTTCAACGACCTTTGTGTCCGTTTGAATTCAAAGTTTGGCGGTGATTTCACACTGAAGGGGAGGTTTGATACTGGGAAGACTAGGGCACACTATGTCCTCATGCCCTTGCGCGACCCTGCTCACTGGTCCCGCTATATTAGGGTTCTCCAAGGTTCCAATGTGCCCATGGCTGAGGTGGTGGTGGAGAATGGGTACAGGATGTAGGGTGTTCAAGACGGCCCGTCCATTGATGGTTTTGGAGGCAATGAACAAGAATTAGGGGTCGAAGGGGAAGCAACTCAGGATAACATAGATTTGGACGGTCAGTTGACGCAGGAGCAGTTTTATTCAACTACAGTAGGCTGTATAAGCAATGACTTCGATGTGGATGAGTTTGAACGGGAAGATGAGGAATTTTTAGTACATAGCCACATTGATCATTAATAAAGCATGTAACTAACAGACGGCGCAATCAAAAACCCTCAGTCAGAAACATAATAAGTAAGCAACTCATCGTCCGAGTACCAATCCTCAACCACAACCCTGTTGTTGTGGCTAGGCTCACCTGCATTGCCCTGATCTGCCTTTCGCCTGTAGTAAGTGGCCTCCGCTTCATCTACGGCCTCTACGGCCTGAGTGAAGAACGTGTCGTCATCCTCCTCCGCCTGCAAGCCCGCCTCTGCTAGAGCGACGAGCTCGCTCAGTCTACCAGTGTCATCTTCAGCCTCCTCCGCCTGCAAGCCCGCCTCTGCTAGAGCGATGAGCTCGCTGATTCTGGTAGTGTCGTCCTCAGCCTCGTCCCCCTCATCAGATAACACAATCGGTGATTCAACGGTGCGACCATCTCGCTTTCTGTGCTCATCTAACTTCTTTTCCTCGTACCTTGCATGAGCCACCTCTGCAGCATGTTCCTCGCTGCATCCAATCCCTTCATGTATAAAATGTAATCAGTTAGCAACACGATTATATTACATTTAAAATCAGGCAACCAAAAAAGGCTTTCAAACACTCACTGGTACATAATGCAACAACATGCTCGTTCAAGACCTGCATCTGTACTCTTGTCTCCTTCCTTGCCTCCTTCCCTGCCCTCTTCTCCTCTAACGTCATCCGTCTCTCCAATCCCCATTTGTCAAGCCCAACGTCAATCGGGTTACAAATACCGCGCTGTCTAGCAAACTCACGCATCTTGTCTTTGTGATGTTTAACGAAAAGGTTGACGTAGTCATGTCCATATCCCCTCTTCCGTCCAATTACTTGCTTCCCCTTCAGTTCATCTAAGAACTTAGCTTGGCCATCATAACATTCCCACCTATATTTTCTAGTGCTCTGTTTAAACAAAAAATTATATCATATATGTCTTAGCAAAAGAAACAAAATACGATTTCATGGTTACCATAAAAATAACCAACCTCATCATAGTCAACCATATGGCCGCAATAATGGTCTATTCCAAGCTCCGAAGGGACTAGACCGTAGTTGAATTTAACACCACATTCGCACTTTACTAGAGGTGTTTTGTAAATTAACGTTTCTTTCTTCTTTTGCTTTGCCTTTGGTGGTTCTTCGGACCATTTGTTCTTAGGACCATACAACCACTCCTTGAAACGATACTTTACCATTGAATACACCTAAAAAATATGACATTAGTACATAAACACATATAGCTCAATATTTCAGCACATACACTTTGCACTTACTTCATGCTTGTTTGGATACACAAACTCCAACGTATTCTTAGGGTTTATCACAGCTCGATCTCCGCAATCGCACAGAGGAGGTTCCTCGAGTCGCCTAACTGCGGCTAAGTGCTTCTCCTTAGCCGTCATTGGAGGGGGGTTAAGGGGAGGTGGAACCCACCGCTTGAAGTGCTCTCGTGGATGTCGCCCTCTCCACCAATCATCGAAAAGGAGGTACCTACGGTCAAACTTGTCTGTATCGTCGATCCATAGAAAGAAAAAGCACCTCTCATGGGCCTACACAATAAAATTTTAACAAAATATTAGTAACCTAGTAATACAAATGAAGAAAAAACATATGGAAACAATTACTTACATTAAAACGACTGTATGTGTAGAAACAACGAGCCGTTGTGTCCGGATATCTCGATTGAAACACGTCGGTCGGACAACCACAGTTACAGTTAGGGACAGGGAGTTCAGGAGGGATGGGAGCATTTTTGCTAGACTCGTCGGGGTACAATTCTCTAGGATGACCCTGTTTTCGCCACAACTGCTCCCGAAACATGTCTTCCATCTACATGATAAACATAATTCTAACTAAATAATTAACCTTAACATTGACAAAATCAAACTAATATCTTCCTTCAAACCGTAGCCCATAGTTCCCAAACATAATTTTTCTCCTAACCTTAACTCCCATTCATATTATCCTATCCACCATTCAAACGAAAATAAAAAGTGCGCCATTACCTTGAACGAGGACTAGGAGGAAGGGAGGCGGCCGGGGAATGTAAGGGAAGGGAGGGAGGCGGCAACGGAGGGCCGGGCGGGTGGCGGGCACGGTGGCCAAGCGTGGGCAGGCGGTCTTGCTGCTTGGGCAGCGGGGGACTGGCCACGGGGGTATTATTCGGCTCTGCCGCGCCACGGATCAGGGCGCTGCACTGCCGCGCCAAGATCGGTGACGCGGCAAGCCCTGCCACGTCACCGGTCAGCGATTTCGGTCGTCGCCACGTCAGCCCGCTGTCGCGCCACCATGCATGGTGCGGCACGAGCATTTGGCCGCGCCATGGCAATAGGCGCGGCCAAAAGTGTTAGTTTAAAAAAAACAGACAGTGTTAGATTTAAAATTAGTTTTTAAAAAGTGTTAAAATAAAAAAAATCGCACCTGCTAGGGTGTGGGTTGGAGTGCCAAATTGCTACCGCAGGTCTCATCGGCCCGGGCTTTATCAACAAGGGGTGGGTGCGGATGTTAAACTGCACCCGCAGGGTGCCTATTGGGGCCCAAAATATAAAAAACATCCATATAACTAAGTGTCCATGTCTAATTGCTAACTATATGTTTGGCATATAAGTACTGAATTTTTAGTCCATTTCAAAAACTTGTATACTTACATGACACCTATATGGTAGATGACTAAGTTATGTCAAATTGCCAATCGTGTGCATGCACCATGTGCAAGCTGCCTTGCAATCCCAATGGCTGCATGCCTGCAAGGACGAAGAAGGGACTCATGAGCAAGGCCAGTGAAGGGGGAAAGGAAAACTGAACAAGGCAAACAGGGAACAATAATGTAGCTGTTCGGTCGTCCGTCTGTCGGGATGGACCCCGCCCGTGTCGCCCGCTTGCATAACGGACTCCGCGTGTGCCGCTCCCGTCCGCATCACCCCCTCGCTCTGCGCGCTGCGCACCCTTGCTCACGGGACGGTTCCCGCCCTCCCCCGCGTCGCCCCCGCTCGCGTTGCGCACCCCTGCTGCTTGCCCACGCCGTCCCCGCCCGTACTCGTGCCTCCCGTTGCAGCTGCGCCCCATCCGCCTACCGCAGTCCAAGCCGAGGTCCGTACCACCGACGAGCTCTACACCGGCGACCTCCGTGCTACTCCGTAGCATCAACGAGCCTCCATTTTCGTCCAAGCAACAAGTAGATGTTGCGCTTGAAAGCACATGTTGCAAGCGTCACTTTTAAGTGTTTCACTTATTTCAGAGGTATGTTGCAAGTGTTTTATATAGATGTTGCAAAAGTAGATCGAGATGTTGCATATGTTGCAATGGTTGTACACGTATGTTGCAAACTTTTGTTCCCAATGTTTCATCTTTGTTTTCAGACATATGTTTCAAGTGTGTTTATTTGAATGTTGTATATGTTTCACACACATATTTTCAAGTGTTTTATCCGGATGTTGTGTATGTTTTGTAATGGTTTTAAGTGTTTTGTAAATGTTTCAGATGCATGTTTTAAGTTTTTCATCTGCCTTCAGACTTATGTTGCAAGTGTTGCAGATGAATGTTTCAAAAGTAGATTGGGTGTTGCATCTTCCTCCTCGCCTTCTGCTGCCTCTCGGTGTCTCCTCCTCCTTACGGCACCGGCTGGGCATCCAGCTGCTCCTCCCTCTCTTTCCGATGCTGGTGACGTTCGAGACGACGTGGGCCTCACGTGGACGCTCAAAACGCGCGGAAAAATGACTGCAGGCGTGGGTGTCCAGACGTCCGGGCGCCGGCATGCCCAAAAAGGGGAACGAGGACGACAACTAGATGCTTTGAGATTCGTTTTAGCCACGTGTCCACCCTATATTCGTCCTGCGAATTAATTTCCTTCCTGGAACCGGGCGGCGGTGGCAGCAAAAGGGAAGCGAGACCGCCGCCACATGCCTCCTGGCCTCCTCCTCCCTCGCGGCGGCCTCCTCCTCATCCTCCCCCATCTCCGCCGCCACTTGCCTTCGCTTTGTCCTACTCCCCGAAGCAGCCCCTCGCATAAGCGCCCAGGTGCCTTCTTCGCCCCCGTCTGCGCCGTCTCCGGCTACTCCGGCATGGCGGCGGGTTCGCCGGAGCAGCAGCAGCGGAGCGTTGTAATCAGGGATACCGTGGAGCTCACGGAGACGGAGGAGCGCATCTTCAACCGCCTTCTCGAGGTTGTTCGCCACTTCGGCCTCGGCACGCAGCTCCGCGTTGCCGGTGGATGGGTCCGGGACAAGGTGCGCTTTTCTTCATTTTATTCTTTTTTTTTTGTCTTCTACAAAAAGAAAAGTCCCTCTTGCCCGGTTGGACGTAGACTCGTAGAGTATCAGAAATCGGCTGTAATTAGGGTTTAAATTAATATACTGGGGTTTTAGGGTGTGATTTCTCGCTGTTGATACAAAGAGGGGGATTTTCTGTTGTTACGTTGAATGCCACTGAATTGAGTCCTCTAGATTCTTTATGGTTCTTGCTGAGGGTTTTGGTATTAAATGTTTTGTGATTAAAGTAATATATACTGGGGTTTTAGGTTGTGATTGCTCTCTGTTGATACAAAGAGGGGGATTTTCTGTTGTTACGTTGAATGCCACTGAATTGAGTCCTCTAGATTCTTTATGGTTCTTGCTGAGGGTTTTGGTATAAAATGTTTTGTGATTTAGTAGGTAAAATGTCCCCCACTAGGCAAATGCCAGGTAAGTGTAGCGTGTTATGCATGTATAGCCAGGGATGATTCCTCCATTTAGTCGGATTTTTCAAGGTTTACTGTATTTTCGGACTAGTTGTATGATAATTATTTTTGATGGTTTCTCTATCCTATAGTTTTTTCAGGGTTGTAGTTTACAACTTTACATGCATGGGAAAAGCTATGTTTTCTACTGCATTTGACTTGGAAATTTTGGATGCAACAGTGCAGCACCATTTGGCATAGGATAACTTGTGGATAATCCTCAAAACATCTAGTTATCAGGATATATAGTAGTCTTAGTTGGGTTTTTGCTGGCAAACTTTACTTGTTTTGCTATCTTGCTTGAGGGTTTTGGTAGGGCCAATGCTAACTGATCGCCCTTAGTGATCAGATACATAGGCGTTGGAAAGTTGGCGGCAGGAGGTTCTTTCTGTGCACTTGTGAACTTTGTAATTTCGTTGCTGAGGTGATGAAATTCGATTTTACCGTGGTGGAAAAAGTTATCAGGATATTTCTTCATACTTTTTGGGCTTATGGTATAGAATGATTGTTGTCTAATTTTATAACTGTTTCCTTGGCAGCTATTAGGGAAAGACTCTGCTGACATTGACATTGCCCTTGACAATATGACGGGCCAGAATTTCTGTGAGAAAGTAAATGAATACTCAAAGTTGATAGGGGAGCAGCAGAAAGGAATCGGTGTTATCCAGTGGTATGTGATTCTTACTATGGTAATCCTAATGAGTAGCTTATTACTGTTGCTGCTTGCTCATGGGGTTGGGTGATCCTTTGCTTTAAGTTGTCTTTAGTCGTTTCTATTTCCTATCACAGTCTGTTTCTTCTTGTAAGTAACCAGGTGAGGTGTGTGTGTTTTTCTGGGTTTAGGTGCTAAGAGTTTTTGTACTCCTTTCCCTTTCCTTTGTACAATTTCTTCTATCTTCCTAGTGAAATGTTGTGCAGTTCTCCTGCGTGTTCAATAAAAAAAATGTTGCTTTTTATACCATTTTGCACTTGTTTGGCCGAAAGCAACTGCACTGTTTGATATAGTGTGACTATTTGCTTATCCATCAGCTTGAATCGTAACTTTTATTAGTTTTTTGCAGTAACCCTGATCAATCCAAGCACTTGGAAACTGCTAGGATGCTTATTCTCGACATCTGGATTGATTTTGTTAACTTGAGGTCTGAACAATATGCTGAAAACAGTCGTATCCCTACAATGGTGTGTACTTATATCCATCCCTTTGCATGGTTATTTGGTGACCTTGTTTACATGACATATTATCTGTTTGCAAGTTGCATATTTATTTGTTACTGAGAGATATTAACCACATTCCTATATGCTTAGTTGAACTTGAACATTTCTCTTTGTATTGACATGTCTCCGTTTGGTGTGGATTACTTTGTTAATTTGTTATGAAGAATTATTATTACAATTAAACCATATGTTGACTCAAGTGCAACAGGTAGCCGTTGTTAACATTTTTGGCAGCTCAATGTTTGTAAACTTCTTGTTTTCTGCTTCATTTCTTTAGCTTATCCTTCTTCCAATCTAAGTCTTTATAGATAGCCTTTTACATCCTGTATATGGCTATGTCACGTTTGCAGGAGATTGGTACTGCCAAGGAAGATGCATACCGCAGGGACTTGACAATTAATAGGTATATTTCATTTTCAGATGGGTTTGTTGTGTCTCCAAAGCCATCCTTTCATCGTTGCAAATTTGATTCTAATTTGTTTGAAGGCTGGCCTATTCTTCATAAGCCCTATATTTATTTTGTTCCTTTTCTAACTTTGACAGTTTGTTCTTTAATATCAACAATAACTCAGTGGAAGATTTAACTGGAAGAGGTGAGTTTGTAGTACTTCAATGGTACAAGTTCAAGTAATGTTTTACAATATTCATGCTGCTATGCCATTATGAAGGTATTGAGGATCTCAAAAAGGGCCTTATTGTTACTCCTTTGCCTGCCAAAGCTACCTTCCTTGATGACCCACTTAGAGTTCTTCGAGCAATAAGATTTGGTAATTCAAAACATCTCCCAGTTGATCTTAAGATTTTTTAATTTGTTATGTTGAGAAAGTATTAATGATAAGTTATTAAAACTTCTTAGTAAGTTGATAATGGCATTACAATTAATTCATGTCACTGAGGTAATTCAAGTTGAGAACTTAATTATTGCTTCTGTTACATAGATATTTTGATGTATGGTCAATTCATAGCCTTTTTTAGTCCATAACTGCTTATGTAATTCCTCATCAAGAAATGAATACTGTGTATCATAATAGAGAATGTAACTTTGAATTGGAACATCATATTTTCCTTGCACAGGCTAATGCTGCTTGCCTCTCTCAGCTGCTAGATTCAACTTTACATTAGATAAAGATTTGAAGGAAGCTGCATCTGATGAAAAGGTGAAGTCAGAGCTTGGTAGCAAGATTAGTAGAGAACGTATTGGTCACGAGGTTGGATGCATACACACTTAAAGCTAACTACTCTTTGTTCATTTCTTTGCTGCTTTACTGTATAACCAAGCTTTTTGTGTTTTTTTTGACAAACTTAGTAAAATAGCATGCAAAACCTTTGCTCATCAATTTTCCTTGTTTTTATATTTGCAGATTGATCTCATGATGTCAGACAAACACCCTGTTAGAGCAATGTGTGACATTCGTGATTTGGGGCTATTTTATGTTGTATTTTCTTTTCCTGAAAAATCCAACCCTCCAATTTTTGACAAGTGTGATTGGTATGTCCTTGTTCTAACATCCCATATTCTTCATTTTTTGGATTCAGACAACTGTTTGTCATTGAATTATATTTCGAGATTTTGTGGTTGTAGAATTATGGAAGTATTGACACCATCGTGCACTTTCTATTTATGTCCATTATCATCTCTACTTTAGTTCAGTCTCATCTTTTATCTCCTATGGGTATACAGGCAATGTGTTTCACATATTGAAGCAGCTTGGGATCTTACATGTTCTATTGGCAGCTCTGTGTTCAGCAGTGGTTCTGACCCCAAGTCACAGGTCTGAAATTTTATCATACTTCTTGATATATGAGCACCCGGAAAAGCCGAAACCCCCTCGCTCTCTCATGATTTGTGTGTTCTTTGCTCTGATTAAAATTATTTAAAGAGTGATACTTTGTTACTCCACTGCAAGTGAGAAACACAAACTAATTTAACTTTAAAATGTAACATTTTGTTAGATTCGTTGGTACTGATCAGTTACTTGGGTCATATACAGAAAATGTGCACTGATTGAACTACGAAGTGAATCATAAATAAAGCTTTCAATTGTGATGTGATAACAAGCTTATATCTCCAGTTTCATCTTACCTATGTTTAATAAATTTCCTATGTTATGAAATTTACTAAGCTGTGTATTATGGCTAGCAGGAATTATTTGATTATAATTTGTTCTCTCTTGGCTTCCCTTAACATTAAGATATGTTGTGATGTTTAGGATGAACGACGAAGGCTTTGCTTGTATAGTTCATTATTCAATCCCCTCCGAAATATGTTCTACTTGGACAAAAGATCTAAGAAGGTAACAACAAAGTCGTGCATCATCTGATTTTCTTTTTCTAATGCAAGGCTTTGAAAATTTTGCACTGGCTCAATTTGTGCATTTGTGTTGACTAAGTAGTCACTTAAAATCAACTGTATGAATGGGTACATTTACTTGATACTATTTTGCTATATTGACTGGAGAGACAAGTTTGCTGTGCCATGACTATTGTTTTTTTTCAGCATGCAACATTATGTGCAGTGCTCTTGATTCTTTTTCTTTATAAGAACACGCTTTAACTGTTTAAGCAGGCAAATTTATTTGTTTACAATCTACTTGGTTTGAGTGAACCCTTAACTGCTTTAAAAAACAACCCTCTCTAGCTCAGTTTGCAAATAATGCCACTTTTGACCAAAGCAGTCACAATTTTGTTACTGCTTGCTAATTGGACTTCAGATAAAGAGTTGGTGTATTGGATCATTACCTTCCCTTTGATTACTAACCTTCTTCGTGAAAATTATTGTATCTTGTTACTCATACAACTGTATGCTCAGCATAGCTTCTATCCTGTGGAGGGACAATTTATAGTTTTATATGGCTTCTGATGTCCATTAACCAGACCTTGATTGAGGTTGGTGACTAAGCATGTTGCACCATAAACATTTTTTTCTTGCTTGCTTCCTTGCTTTGGCTGCTAAAGTTGTTCCCACCTTTAAGCAGCAATTAAATTTGGATATTAAAATCAACTTCAACAAATGAAGCTGCTCTCAAATATCCATTTTCATGACGTTGTTATTTCTTTCAATTGTTTGTTTAAGAGTCTGTTGCATCATCAGCAGGTTCCTGTTTCTAGCTTTATTATCAAGGACTCACTAAAGTTGAAAAACAGCGATGCTGAAATGGTATGTTCTCTTGAGTTGCTCCAACAGCATTGTTTGTGATTCTGGTTGGTTTTGTGTACCGTGACAACAAATTAACTTTCTATAATGTGTTCTCCTAAAGGTTGTCAACATACATGCTGCTAGCGAAAAATTTGCTGAACTAATTCCTCTCCTTGAGTCAAATCCTGATGTGTGTACTCTGAAAGAGAAATTGGAAGATGAATATCTTGAGATACCAGAAGACAGTGTTAAGCGTGTTTTTGCAGGTCAGTAGTTGACATGCTAGTTTCTTAATTTGTCAGATCTTCAGTACTGGTTTATCCTCTGTAACCTGATGCTTCTGTTGTCTGGTGTTTTTTTTCATTTGATTATTCAATGTCATGATATGCATTTGATTTTTTACAGTTGTTGCATATTTGGTAATGACTGAATCTGATTCTTTCATTGTCACAAGATTCATATATTCTTTTTTGTTTTAAGTAACTTGTTGGGAAACATGTTTTCAGGACTTATACTCCGAGAAATAAAGGACTTTTGGCGGGTGGCGCTACTTTTATCCATTCTGTCCTACCCAGAAGCCGAAAATGCTGCTGACATCCTCAACAAGCAGGATGAGCTGCAAGGGAGGAAAGAGAAATACATCAGAGTCGAGCATTTCATAACTGACCTAGGTAATTGATGGTTGTGGAATCTGTGGTTTTCCCATACCTTCAAGCGCGTAGATTTACTAGTTCATATGATTAGTTAACTGTCCTGGTTTATTGTTTCTCTTGTCCAGATCTTGATGGGGTGTGGAAGTTGAAGCCGGTACTCGACGGGAAATCTATTATGGGAGTTATGCAGGTCAAGTCAGGAGGTCCACTGATAGGAAAATGGGTACGCTATGACTCCCCCAGATCAGGCTAATTCTTGACCCTGAAAAACCATGATAAAAGACCTGTTTCTTGTTGCAGCAACAACTTGTACTGAAGTGGCAGCTTGCGCATCCAAACGGAACCGTGGATGAGTGCATCGAGTGGATGAAGCAGTCACAATCGAAACGACAAAAAGTAGAATCCAGCACCTGATAGTCATTGGCATTTTGAGCAATAGGCCATAGGCAGTCTTGAGATAGGTTACCAATTGACCCTTGCAACAGTTTGCGTGCCGCCGACTGTGTGAACATATTACACATGCACTGAAACGCCTGCTGTGAGCCTGTGACCGGTGGCAGATGTAAAAAAACGTCATGTTACAAACACCTGCTTGATCCTCGGATGCTTTCACTTATAATTAACGTTGAGTTATTATTGTTAGAAAGACCCTGCATGAAATCTGGTAGCTGAGTTGTTTTTTCTTTTCTTATTCTGGATGCACAGTTGGGAGCTATGAGGGATTTTTTTAATTCCAGTTTCTGAAAATAGTTATTCTTATGGAGCTGCCAAGCGCAGGTCAAAAAATCTAATGAAAGTGGACATGTGGAAGAATTATGGCCCAAATTATTTTTGAGAAAAAACTTGTAAAAAAAAGCTTTGGCTAACAGAAATGCTTAGGGGTGGGCGTCTGATCTGATATTGTCGTGGGCAGCGAAGCTAGTCTAAACGGTCCAACAAGTGTGTTTCACTATGCTCATATTTTTTATTGGGAAATTGTTCGGTCGTTGTCTGCTCTCCAGAACGGAAACCTCATCCTCCACTTGTCGAGGTCCTAGAATCCTAGCACCACCGCCACGTGCTACGACTACTCTGCCGCGTGCCGCGACTGCTTCGCCGCGATGGCCGCCCGCCTGCCACCATACTACCTCTCCACCAGTGGTGCTTGCGCGCCGCAGTTGGTGCTGATGCTAGTGGTGCTCGCTCCGCCGTCGCACGTGCCGTCCGCTCTCTCCTGTCGCGCGCGCTGCGTGCTTGGCCGAGCCAAGCCTGGTGGTGGTGGTGCTCGTGCGCTGTCGCTCGTCGCTAGCTTCGACCCCAACAGCTAGATTTGACCGGCCCCGGCCTCCCCCATGTTGCAAAACACATGTTTCATGTATTTCTGATATTTCATAGATATGTTGCAAGTGTTTTATATGGATATAGCAAAAGTAGATCGGAATGTTACATGTGTTACAATGGTTGTACGTGTATGTTGCAATATTTTGTTCCTAATATTTTATCTGTTTTTTCAGGCATATGTTGCAAGTGTGATTATCTGGATGTTGCATATGTTTCGCGCATATATTGTAAGTGTTTCATCTGGATGTTGCTTATGTTTACAATGGTTTCAAGTGTTTTTGGTGTTTTTGGAAGTGTTTCAGACGTATGTTTCAAGTGTTTTATCAGTCTTAAGACATATGTTGCAAGTGTTGCATTTGAATGTTTTAGAAGTAGATCGGGTGTTGCATCTTTCTCCTCGCCTTCTGCTACCTCTCCTTGGTGTCTCCTCCGCCTCCAGTGCCGCCAGCGAGGTTCGACATGGCTGTCTGGGTCCTTCACCTTCCAGGTGCTCAAGTTGGGCGTAGGGCAGCGGTGGAGAAGCAGGGGGCCAGTGTTGGCCTACAGATGCGGATAGGTCACATCGGCTAGCGAGGCTTTTTTTGGAGGGAAAGAGGCACGAGGCTACAGATGAGCGCGACGCGGGCTCTGGAGTAGAATCCGGGCACTTGCCCTTCTGTTTGGCTAAACGTTACATTTTTCTGTATAGGTGTACACCATAAAGCCGACTCAAGTATGTATTCCATTTGACAAAGCAGTTCCCTACATTAAATAACTTCAACTCTACTGTCAATAGGCATCATTATGGAGCAAAAGGTGCACATGTTGGAGAGGAGGAAGAAGAAGGCGTCTAGGGTTCCAGCGAGGAGGTCACCAACGTTGGAGACGATGACCTCGCTGACTCTCATCATTTCAGGAAATGATGCAGAACTGGGTAGTGATATTGATCCCCTCTCTTCTTCTCTATCTCCAGTGGGCTTAGAAGCGGGTTCACAGGCGGTGTGTAGCAGCAGGGGCGAGGACAAGGAGGAGGGTGGGGTTGAGGGGTGGGAAGAAGAAGGCGTCTAGGGTTGGCCGGGCCAGTAGGGAGGAGGTGGATGCGAGGACCAACGTTGGCCTTAACGTCATCGCATCCTTATTCCTACACAAAATAATTTTAGATCAATACTCAAGAGTCTCACACCACCAAACACTCTCATCATTTCAGAAATGATGCAGAATCATGGTAGTGACATTGATCCCTCTCTTCTTCTCTATCTCAGTGGCTATGGCATGGTGAAAGGAAGCGGGTTCAACAGAGCAATTTGATTAGTAAGTAAATAGCGAAATGCAAACTTGCTCTAGCTCTACAAGGGTTGCAAGGACAAAGGAGGAGGGTGGGGTTAAAGAGCTCCACTAGGTAAAGCACAAGGGAGGTGCTATATCGTTTGTGAAATGTAAATGAGTAAGTGAGGCGAGGCCGGGTCGTGGAGTGAACCAATTGGGCCGATGAATATATAGCCAATCAGGGAGTAGAGGTAGGTTCACGTGGCTTGCCAACACGCTAGTGTGTGGACCAACACTTGTGGAGGAAGGTGCTTGGTCGAACACCGACCCATAAGTGAGGTAACGACACGAGCAATTTACATCGCATCCTTATTCCGGAAGGCGCCACAAAATACTCGTGGTCGATTTTAGCTCTCTAGTGTCAATCAATACTCAAGAGTCTCACACCACCAAACACAATGCACATCAATTTAGTAGGCACATGATGGAGATGAGTAGTTTGGCTAAGCTCACAAGGTTGTACTTGTACATGGGGCTATGCCCCCATCAAATAGAGCCGTTGTACCCCTTCCTTTGGGCAAAATCGGCCGGGACGCTCGGTCATACTTGCTGATCCCTAGTGTCGCCTTTGGATAGGCATGCAACGGCCGCCATTTCAAGGTGACGCTGGACGCTCTGAAGCTGACGGAAATCTCAACAAAAACCGGCCGGACCTTTGAAGCCTCGGCGTCCGGTCATTTCAATAAGCTCAGGCGTATTTCTTTCGGACGCGTCCGGTCCACCTTGACTTGAGACGCACTTGCGTCCGGTGCTCAACCCTTCCCATGTTGGCGGCTCGGACCGATATGACCTTTCGGCGTCCGGTCATTTGAGTGCCGTCGCCAAAGACCGGACGCTTGACATCATTTCGATCAACTCCATTTCAACTCTTACTTCTTCACCCTTGCTCAAGTGTGCCCAACCACCAAGAATTTTTGCAAAAAAAAATAGACATTTCATTTTTCCAAAAGCCGCATGAAGCAAGCTCGGCGGGGAGGAGAGAGGCGCAAACACCTTGTGCACATGTGTTAGCATATTTTCACAAATATTTTACTCCACTAGATCCTAAATCACATCAATGAGTTAGAGCATCTAGTGGCACTTTGATAACCGCATTTTTCATGGCTATGATTATGGCTATCTATCCTAAAGCACTCTAAGTGTCTTGTACTAGGATTTTAGATGGGTTGAGTTGTATATATAGCTTCCCACTACAACTCGTCATTGCTTCATCAAAGTGAAGCGATAATTTAGTTTTGCCATCTCTCAATTAACCAAAAACAAACTAGAGCCAATGTTGGTGCTTATGCTATGTGCCATGCAGGGGCAAAGCCAAATTCTCCCTCCTTCTACCTAGCCTGTCTAGGATTAGATGGGAGGGTTGTATAGATGGGTTGAGTTGTACATATAGCTTGTAGTGTGTGCCATCTCTCTCTGAAGAGCCGGCCAATGTTGGTGCGGTGAGTGGTCGGCTCACCCATGCTAGAGATCTTAGGACCAACAAGTGGTATCGGAGCCGTACAAGCACCGTCGCCGGACTAAACGCTGGCTATGATGGACGGTTTGGAGATGGGCGACAACAGCGGCGCTGCTGTGGCTGCCCAACCACGATAGGAGGTCATTGTGCACATGGTGTGGGAGGTCAGCGACACCAGTTGGCCGACGCTGACTCGCACCAACTATGGCAAGTGGGCGGTGACCATGAAGGTCAACCTCAGAGCTCGATGGCTCTGGAATGCCATTGACAAGGGCACCGGCAATGAAGAAGACAACATGTTAGCATTGGAGGCTATCCTCGCTGCTGTGCCAGCGGAGTACAGGGAGTCATTAGGGGCAAAGAACTCTGCTAAGGAGGCATGGGAGGCCATTGCAGCGATGCGCGTCGGCTCCGACTGCGCAAAGAAGGCGACGTCCCAGCTGCTGAAGCAGGAGTACGCCACCCTCAAGTTCAAGGATGGTGAGTCGGTGGAGGACTTCCCCCTCCACATGCAGTCGCTCATCAGCAAGCTGAGGAGCCATGGTGTCACCATCGATGAAGAAGAGGCAGTCTCAAGTTACCTCCACTCCGTGCCGGTGAAAGTACATCTAGATCGCTCTCTCCATAGAGACGATGCTGGACTTGTCCACCCTCACCATCGAGGATGTGATAGGTCGTTTGCGGGCGGTGGATGAGCGCATGGAGCATGCCACAACAATGATGGACAGCGGCAAGCTGCTACTGACAGAGGAGAAGTGGGCTACCTAGAAGAAGTCCGGGGAAGCCTCCTCCAGCCGCGGTGGCGATGGCAAGCGCCGCGGCATGGCTTCTTAGGAGGAGAAGAAGGTCGACCCCAATGCCTGCCGGCGCTGCGGGAAGATGGGCTATTGGGCAAAGGAGTGCCCAAATCGCAAGCAGGAGAAGAAGACTGAGGATCATTTAGCGCAGTCTGATGAGGATAATGAGGCCACTCTCCTAATGGCGACGTTCTATGCACTGCACAATGTTGAGGCCAAGGAGAAGGGAGAGGTGATGGCGGTGAAAGGGCACAACAAGGCTCTGAAGGCTATCAACCTCGACGAACCGCTTGCCCAAGTCCACCTTGGACGTGTGGGCGGCGAACAAGAATAGCGGTGGTACCTGAACTCCAGCGCCAGCAACCACATGCCGTGCTCCAAGGAGGCCTTCTCTGAGCTCAATGGTAACATGACCGGCACGGTGAAGTTCGGTGACGGCTCATGGGTGATGATCCGAGGGCGTGACACCATCATCTTCAGGTGCTAGAACTGGTGAGCACCACGCGCTGATGGATGTGTACTACATCCCGCAGCTG